TGCAGATCATAACAAACTATGGATAACCTTGAGAAGAATGGGAATTCCAGAACACTTCATTGTGCTCATTCAGAATTTGTACATGGATGAAAGAGGTAGTTGTGTTAACAGAACATGGGAATACTGTATGATCTGAAAGCAGGAAAGGTGTGGATCAGGGCTGTATCCATTCATCATACTTATTCAATCTGTATTCTGAACAAAGCATCGGAGAATCTGGATTATATGAAGAAAAACTTGACATAAAGATTGGAGGAAGGCTTATTCACAACTTGCAACGTACAGACGATACAACCTTGCCTGCTGAAAGTGAGGATTTGAAGCATTTTCGGATGAAGATCAAGGATTGTAGTCTTCAGTGTGAATTATGACTCAATATGAAGAAAATAAAAATCCTAACACCTGGTCCAATAGGTAACATCACGGAGAAAAGACTGACGTTGTCAAGGATTTTATCTTCCTTAGGACCGCAATCTGCTCATGGAAGCAGCAGTCAAGAGATCAGACGATGCTCTGCATTGGCAGATCTGCTGCACAAGACTCTTTAAAGTGCTGAGAAGCAAGGATGTTACTTTTAGGACTAAGATGTTCCTGACCCAAGCCATGGCATTTCCAGTGACCTCATTTGCATGTGGAAGGTAGACATGATGGAAAGCTTGAAGAAGAATCAATGCATTTGAATTATGGTGCTAGTGAAGAATATCGACAGTACCATGAACTGCCAAACAAATGAACAAGTCTGCCTTTGAAGAAGTACATCCAGAATGTTCCTTAGAGGCAAGGATGGTGAGACTTTCTCTCATATACTTTGGGCATGTTATTAGGCCAGACCAATCCCTGGAGAAGGACATCATGCTTCGTAAAGTGGAGGGACAGTGATGAGATGGATTGACACAGAAGTTGCAACAATGGGTCAAAACATAAGAACAATTGTGAAGATGGTGCAGGACTCAGCCATGTTTTATTCTGTTGTGCATATGAGTCAACGCAGATGCAACAGCACGGAACAACGGCAACAACATCCCTTATGAACACAGATGCAAAGATGATCAAAATTTCTAGCCAATAAGGTTCAACAAAATTTCAAAAGAAGATATAATTTTTACCAAGTGGCATTTAGCCAAGTATACAAGGATGACTCAACATTATAAAAATAATATGATTCACCATGTAAATAGAACAAAAGAAAATAACTACATGATCAAATAAAGGATCCAGAAAAGGTCTTTGACAAGATGCAACATCCATTCCTGAGAAACACACTCAGCAAAATAGAAATAGAAGGAAATTTCTCAGCATAATAAAGACCACATATGAAAGCAGATAGCCAACATCTTGCCCAATAGGGAGAAACTGAAAGCATTCCTTATGTGAACAGGAACCACACAAGGATGTCATTTATCACCACACAAATTCAATATTGTGCTAGAAGTCCTAGAGCTATTAGACAAGAAAAAGAAATGAATGGCTACCAAGTTGTCAAAGAAATGATTTTTTTGCAGAATATATGTATAGAAACCCCCCTCCCCAAGATTTGACAAGTAAATTGTTGGAAATAATTGAAAGATTCAAGTGTGGCAGGGCACAAGATTAATGAACAAAAAATCAATGAGATTCCTATGTACTACGGACAAGAGTTTGGAAAAGGAAATCAAGAAAACAATATCAGTAACAACAGCCACACACACACACAAATTACTTAGGAATAAGCCTTCTCAGAGAAATAAGATTTATTCAAAGAAAACTACAAAGTGCTACTTTAAGAAACTAAAACAGATCTATATAACTGGAAGAATGCTCTATGCTCATGGATAAGAAGACTTAACATTGTGAAAATGTCAATGCCACCCCCCCAAAATTCTATAAACATAATTCAAGTCCTATCTAGATATCAGCACTGTTCTTTAAAGAAATGGGAAAATGAATCAATAACTTAAGAACAAGAACAGGTTAGAGACCTCTCACTTTCCAACCTCAAAATCTACTGCACAGTAATCGAACCAGCCTGTTACTGGTACAATGATAGCTATGTAGACCAATGCAGCAGAGTAGAGAACCCAGAACTACATGCATCCACCTACAGACAACTGATCTTTGACAAAGAGCCAAAATACATGAAGTAAGAAGAGATCATCTCTTCAACAAATGCTGCTGGAAAAATGGGATTTCCTCTTGCAAAAGAAAGAAATAAGATCTATAACTAACCCCATATACAAAAACGTGCAGAAAAGGTAGAAGTTGTCAAAGAGTTTGTCTTTTTTGTATCCACACTCAGTGCTCAGGGAGGCAGCAGTCATGAGATCCAAAGACACATTGCATTGGGTAAATATGCTGCACAAAACCTCTTTATTAAAAACAAGGAAACTACTCTGAGAACTAACGTGTGGCTGACCCAAGACATAGTATTTTCAATGGTTTCATATGCATGTGAAAATTGGACATTGAATAAGGAAGATCAAGAGCAAACGAAGAGGGAAGGAGAGAGGGTGACACACATCCTGGCCCACCAAGCCCCGAGGATGATATTCCTGCTCAGAGCAGACAATGCACAGGATGGACCATAGGGCTAGCCCCACCACGAGACACGAGACATGACGACGTCCCTCACTGAACCATAGCACTATGGGAGACAACACTGGAGACACAGTGTGGGAATTGTGCCTGATCTGACCCCATTACACTGGGGCGAAACACTAAGGGCGTGCAACAGAGCAGCAAGGGGAGCAATTAAGTCCCCTGGGGAATACCAAAAATAGACTTTGGGGACAGAGTTTGGCACCCCATCAGACACAACTGGAAAACACTCCTAAAGGTCAACAAACAGACCTGCAACTATAGGCTTTTCCTTTTCTTTTATTGGCTTTCTTTTTGTTGTTGTTATTTTGTTTGTTTGTTTTGTCTTCCTTTGTTGTTTTGCTTGGCTTTGCCTTGTTTTTGTGCTTATTATTGTCTCTGCATGTCTGTCTAGATAGGATAGACAGGATAAACAATTCGGAGGAGAAAACAACGAGATAGACGGTTCCAGGGGGACATGGGAGAGGGGGAGGTGGGAGGAGGTAGGGGGCTGGTCAACCAACCTAGGGACAAGGAAACAACAAGTGAACTAAAATCGATGCCTACTGGGGCTTAATCAAGGGCAACACAACTGCAAGGAATGACTAAGACCAGAATGAAGGCCGCAAGCATGATAGTGAAACAAGAGGAAAGTAAAAGGAAACAGAGGAAAGAAGTAGGAGGCAAAAGATATTTACAGAGGTATAAACACAGGCATGCACATATGTCAATATATTTATATGACAGGGAAATAGATCTATGAACTTATATTTATATGCTAAATATTAAGGTAGCAGATGGACATTGGGCCTCTAGTCAAATACTCACTCAGCACAAGAACACTTTGTCTTAATAATTTGGCATTTGTGCTGCTTACCTTCACAACACGATCACCGAAGACAAAATGGGTGGATAAGCCAATGTGGTGAAGAAAGCTGATGGTGCCTGGCTGTCAAAATATATAGTTTCTGGGGTCTTCTTAAGGGCTTGAAGATAAACAGGTGGCCATCTAGCTGAGAAGCAACAAAGCCCACATGGAAGAAGCACACCAGCCTGTGTGATAATGAGGATTCGATGGGATCAGATATCAGGTATCAAAGACCCAGAACTAAAAATCATATCAGTGTGAATGAGGGGAGTGCAGAGTGGAGACCCAAAGCCCATCTGTAGACAATTGGACATCCCCTCACAGAAGGGTCACAAGGAAGAGAGGAGTCAGTCAGGGTGCAGTATAGTACCGATGAAATATACAACTTTCCTCTGGTTCTTTAATGCTTCCTCCCTCCATTATCATGACCTCAATTCTACCTTACAAATCTGACTAGACCAGATCATGTACGCTGTTACAGATAAGAGCCATCAACACAGGTAATCCATGATAGGTAAACCCTCAGGACCAATAATGGGAATAGAGATACCAGGAGGGGAAGGGGAAGGCTAGAGGAGAAAGGGGGAATTGATCACAATGATCGACATATAACCCCACACACACACACACACACACACAGGGGGACGAACAACAGAAAAGTGGGTAAAGGGAGGCAATGGAAGATATGAAAATAATAATAATTTATAATTTATCTAGGGTTCATGGGGGTGGGAAATGAGGAGCTGATATCAAGGGCTTAAGTAGAAAGAAAATGCTTTGAAAATGATGATGGCAACATATGTACAAATGTGCTTGACACAATGGATGGATAGATAGATTGTTATAAGAGCTGTAAGAGCCCCCAATAAAACGATTTAATAATTTAAAAAAAGAATAAGGAAAATCGAATAAGAATTAATGCATTTGAATTGTGGTGCTGGAGAAGAATATTGATAATGCCATGAATTGCTAAAAGGACAAACCAATCTGTTTTGGAAGAGGTCTGACCAGAGAACTCTTTTTTCTTCTTCTTTTTTTTTTTTTTCAGAGAACTCTTTGGAAGCAAGGACGGGAGACTTTGTCTTACATACTTTGAACATATTATCAGGAGAGACCAGTCCTTGAAGAAGATGTCACGTTTGGAAAAGTAGAGGGAGGCAAAAAAGGAGGAAGACCCGCAAGGAGCTGCGTTGACCTCGTGGCTGCAGCAATGGACGGAAGCATGGGAACAATTGTAAGGACAGCGCAGGACTAGGCAGTGTTTCTCTCTGTGGTGTGTCGGGTCACGACAGGTTGGGACAGATTCAGTGGTCCCTAACAACATACAGAAACAAACTCAGGGTGGATGAAAGGTCTGAAGGTAAGTCCTAGAACTAGAAAGATCAATGAGAAAATAGAGATAAACTTAAGAGCCCTAAGACATGACAGAAATGCATCACCAAACATAATGAATAACACACACGGGGCTGAGGACTGAAACCTTCTGAAAATGAGGAATGTAGGGTCCGTCACGGGCGTCTCATCTGAGGGTCACATTGAGCTGCCTGCGTTTTGAGGGGCTGCTTTGGGAGTCACCACCATGGCAGAAGACACCAAGACCAACATCAAGAACGACCGAACTGCGCCTTCGGTCACCCGCTTCCCCAACCAGAACCAGACCAGGAACTGCTGGCAGAACAACTTGGACTTCCACTGCTGGGAGAAGGCGATGAATGCCAACGGGGGTGACGTCTCCGTGTGTCAGTGGTATCAGCGTGTGTACAAGTCCCTCTGCCCCATTTCCTGGGTGTCCACCTGGGATGACCGCTGGGCAGAAGGCACATTTCCTGGGAAGATCTGAACTGGCCCTCACTTTTCTCCTGGGATCCTGACTCCTGACTTAACTAATAATAAAAACTCATTGAACACGTGTAAAAAAAAAAGAAATGTATGTATATAAAAAGAGTAAAAAGATAATAACCCACAGACTGGGAAAAAATGGCAATGATACATTGGACAAGGGACTAATCTCAAAATCTATAGAAAATTTAAACAACTAAAAAAGAAAAAGATGAATAATCCAATTGAAAAATGGGCAAAGGGCATGAACAGACAGTTAACCAAAGCCATTCAGGTGGCCAACAAACATATGAAGGCATGCTCGCAATCACCGGTTATTCCAGAGATGCAAATCAAAACAACAAAGAGATACCACCTCCCTTCAGTATTAATACCAGAATTCAAAAGCAGAAAATAAATGCTGGAAAGGATGCTGAGAGATTGGAACCATCATACATTGCTGGTGGGACTATAAAACGATGCAACCGTCAAAGAAATTGGTATGGTACTTCGTTAAACAACTGGGTATAAAAATACCGTATGACCTAGCAATTTGATATTCACCCTGAAGAAGAGAGAGCCATAGCATGAATAGATATGTGCACGCCCATGTTAATGACAGCACTGTTCACAGTAGGAAGAAGATGGAAACATCCTAAATGGTCATAAGTGAACGAAGGGATAAATACACCTTGGCACATCCACACATGTGGTAGCTACATAATCTGTTGTCAATTTGAGACTATTAAGAGTGAAGGGGTGGAGTTTAGCCTGTCAGTCAGGTTGCAGCTTGATGACCTCATTTTGGAGGTGCTAAGGAGATACACAGCTGCTGGAGGCGGGACACACAGAAACTCCCTTGGGGACATTGCGGCTGACTAGACACATGGAACCCTGAGCTGGAGGAGCTACGCAGAGACTCCTGCCAGTGCTGAGATGCCTCTACCACCACTGGATCCACAAGACTTTCCACCCACTGGCATGTGATCCTCCTGTATTCAGCGTCATTGTATGTGTTTTGTGAACCTGAAGAAAAATTTATATATTGGTTCAGACAAATGGATTAATATTGGACTTATGGACTTGGTCTGGACTATTTTCTCAATATTCAATTGCTCTTGTATATAGAGCTCTTTCTTACACACAGGTGAGTGTTTATGAACTTGTTTCTCTAGTCTACCCAGAATAACACAATGGTCCTTTCAATATTTTTCTCCAGCACCACAATTTAAATGCATCGATTCTTCGGTCTTCCTCATTCAATGTCCAATTTTCACATACATATGATGCAATAGAGAATAACAATGCGTGGATCAGTCACTACTTAGTCCTCAAAGAAACATCCTTGCTCTTCAATACCCTAAAGATTTCTTGTGCAGGATATTTACTTAATGCAATACGTCTTTTGATCTCTGGACTGCTGTTTCCATGATCATTGATTGTGAATCCAAGTAAGACAATATCCTTGACAATTTCAACCTTTTCTTCATTTATCATGTTATCATATCGGTCCAGAGAATTTTGGTTTTCCTTACATTGAGTTGTAACCCAGACTGAAGGGTACCATCTTTGATCTTCATCAGCAAGTGCTTCAAGTCACTTTCAGCAAGCAAGGTTGTGTCATCTGCATAGTGCAGGTTGTTAATAAGCCTTCCTTCAATCCTAATGCCAAGTTCACAGAAGCCAGCTTCTCTGCTTGTTTGCTCAGAATACAGATTGAATGAGAATGGTGAGAGACTATAACCCTAATGCACAACTTTCTTGATTTTAAACCCTGCAGTCATCTCTCGTTCAAGAGAATCGCGTAACAGATTTTTGATCCATGTACAAGTTCTGAATGAGCACAATGAAGTGTTTTGAAATTCCCATTCATCACAAGGTTATTCACAGTTTATTATGATCCACACAGTTGAATGCTTTTGCATTGTCAATGAAACACAAATAAACATCTTTCTGATACTCTCTGCTTTCAGCCAAGATCCACTGGACCTCAACAAGGATATCTCTTGTTCCATATCCTCTTCTGAATCCAGCCTGAACTTCTGGCAACTACCTGGCAATGTTCTTCTGCAACAGTTGTTGCAAAAATTATACTTGTGTGTGATATTAATGAAAATTGTTCTACACTTTGAGCATTTTGTTGGGTCACCTTTCTTTGGAATGGGCACAAATATGGATCTCTTCCAGTCAGTTGGCCAGGTAGCTGTCTTCCAAATTTCCTGGCAAAGATGAATAAGTGCTTGCAGTGCTTCATCAGCTTGTTGAAAGGATTCAGTGGGCATTCCATCAATTCCTGGACCCTTGTTTTTGGCTAATGCTTTCAGCACAGCATGAACTTCTTCCTTCAGCAGCATTGGTTCTTGCTCATATGCTACCTTCTGAAGTGGTGGAATGTTGACCAAGTCTTTTGGTACAGTGACTGTGTATTCTTTCCATCTACTTTTGACACTTCCTGTATCATTCGATGTTTTTCCCAAAGAATCTCTCAATATTATAACTCCAGCCTTGAGTTTTTCTTTGAGTTCTTTCAGTTTCAGACATGCTGGGTGTGTTCTTCCCTTTGGGTTTTCTAATTCCAGGTCCCTGTACATTTCATTATAATATTTGGCTTTGTCTTCTCGATGCCCTTTGAAAAGTTCTACTCAGCTCTTTGACTGAATCATTTCTTCCATTTTCTTTTATTTAAAAAAAATAATTATATTTAAAAAATCATTATATTGGGGGCTCATACAAAACTTATCACAGTCCATACATACATCCATTGTGTCAAGCACATTTGTGTATTTGTTGCCATCATCATTCTCAAAGCATTTGTTTTCTACTTGAGCCCTTAATATCAGTTCCTCATTTCCCCCCCTCCTTCCCCACTTCCCCCTCTCTCACGAACCCTTGATAATTTATAAATTATTATTATTTTGTCATATCTTACACTATCCAATGTCTCCCTTCACCTACTTTCTGTTGTCCATCCCCCAAGGAGGAGGTTATATGTAGACCTTTGTAATCGGTTTCTCCTTTCTACCCCACCTTCCCTCCATGCTCCAGGTATCACCACTCTCACCA